TCTACACCATGTTGGCTACCCAAATGAAGCTCATCAAAGGACAATTGGGCCTTCAGATCACCAGTAAACACCACAGTAACCGTGCTTCTTCTGTAAGGAAGGCGATTATTAAGTTGGTGACAGAAATCATCTTTCACCGAATCAGGGCTGCAATTTGTGGGGGCGTAAGCCGCAATGACAAACAGGCACCGTTTGTCCGTGCAAATTTCAAGCATGGAACGAGCCAGCCAATCTAACAGTGCACATCCGGCTGTTGACTGGAATCCAATCGATCAGGGCAGCTTCAGTCTGGGGACTCAAAACAATGCCGACGCCAGATTGACCCGCATTTTAAGCTGTGTCATCGGCAGACAGGCGCAATGAGAATGTGCCACCAGTGTCGCATGTGGGGGATCTCAGGGTAAGCACGCAGCTCAAATCTTGCAGGCGCGTTTCCGATAAACAACAAAGATCGATCGACAGGATCTCCAGTGTTCGAGCAAGTGTCCGCTGCTGGCCAATCTTTAGCAAAGTGCGCACGCTGAGGTATGCCAGTCTTAACGAGGATCGAGGACTCCAAAGGAAAACGGATGAACCGATGTTGCACGCTTGGTTGAACATGGACTTGTCGACTGGACTGCAGCGGTGCCCTGCGATTGTGTGTGGGATGAAACTAGAAGACAAGCGACTATTGAAGCAAGGTGGGGGGGGGCCAAGAATTGGGGGATGGAAAACGGGGGGATAGAAGTGAAGTCGGAGCGGGACACTAAGGGTGAAAAAGCACAAGCGGTAAAATAAGAATGCGAGAAGGCCTGAGCAGTAGCATCTAAACCCCCTATTTACCCCGCTCGATGCAGCAAATAGGGCGCCGTTGATTATCCTCTGCGACGGTCAGAGCATCAAGAGATTGTTAGCAGGGAACGTCATGGTGTAATTCGTGGGCAGGATAAAGTCAGGTTGCCCAGGCCTAGACAGGAGAACGATTAGGTTCCTCAACCAAAGCTTTTGGTTCAAAAACCTTACCGCAAGACAGCGAGGTTTTGGCACTGGACTACAGAGAGCCCGTTATATGGAGTAAGGAGATAGTCCCACTTCAAGCCCCAACCTGGAAGGTCAGGAGAGTGGGTTTATCTGGCCTCCAACCATTGATCAATCTGGTATGAGTGGCTCTGAAGGTGCAAAATAGCACCACCCAGCATAGCTCAATGGATCATTGAGGCACACAAACCATCGCACCAAGTTAACGTCCAGTCACATCGCAATGTCCGGATAGCCGGTAACTTCGTGCGCATACCAAATTTTGTGGGTCAGAAAACACACAAACAATGAAAATTATTGCAATCGCGATGAAAATCGACATCGTTTCAACGTAAAGGGCTAGTGGTCGTCGCCTGTATAGCGAAGTGAATGATCCGTAGGCAATGGCCGTATTGCCAGATAGCCTAAAACGGAATCGCGAAGCGCCAGTTGGGATAGGCAACGGGTGTGAGCAGGCCTAGTGAATAAAGGTGCGCAAGCGGCCAAGTGTTTTTAACGTAGTGAAAATGATATATACGTGAGTTTAAAAAATGAATAGGCAGTTTGTGCTGCAGTGCAGTTTCCAACCGTTAATTGTGGATGAGAGTTCGGTTGCTTAGGCCGTTAGTAATGTTGGTGGTAAGCGGAACCCGAGTCTCAAATTCACTAGGTGAAACCTGCAACCTCCAGCTGCCTAGACACAACAATGGAATCCGGCTCAGATACTAGGTTGGAAATGTACCAGTGATATACGCTGAACAAGTGTCGTTACCGTGCTACTTACGCTCGCCAAATGAGTTTACTCTGCGAGATTCAATTGCTACGGGCCATGCGCACGACGCGTATCCAAGACGGGAGGCAAGCACGAACACCTATCGCTACTACGTAATTCATACCAACTAGGCAAGGTCAGGCAAGCAGGCACCCAGGCAGGTCGAACCGACGCTTCACTGCTACGCGACCACCACCATCAGTTTCGTGAGAGCCAGATATACTGCGATGCACCTATGCAGATTCGAACCGGGGACCTACGGATTACGAGCGATGCTTGTACCAAGTATACGCTTCAGTTAAATTCATCTGGGTCTCCTGTCTTAGTGACCAGATAGGTTAGGTGCTAAGTACAAGTGGAAGAACAGTGCGAAGTAATCTTAGGACCTAAGGAGTACCATACTTCATTTCATCGTAAACGCACTACATGAATCCCCACGGTAGCGACCATCACCTCATCCACAGAGTATAGCTTGACCACCCACTTCTAATGTGTGGTTTCGCTCACACTGATAATTGTCACATCTTATGAGTCAACCATTTTACTTTGTGGTATGCACGGCTGGATGGCATATACCAGATACACCCCTACAGAGACATGTAAACAGGAGCACTGCATCACCGCTATGGTTTACCCTCTTTCTCCAGTTTTAGGGTACCACCCAAAGTTCAATGTTATCTGTCGTTTCCTAAATATAAATGGTACTCTTCCTGATGCTGACAGCTTCTATAAATAAAGCATGCAGTGCTGGTGTATCGAGCAATCCTTTCTAACAAAGACTCCGCGTATGAAAAATAACCGGTACCAGATCTCACTTGTCGCCGCCATGACTCTTGAAACCGAGACGCCTGGAACATGCGTCACTTCTTAAATTGACACTAGCATATGTAACTGACGAAAAAGGAGATACTTGTTAGGGTCATCGTCGTTTAAGAGATGGGACTATGTTTCACCCAGCAAAGCATCAAATATGTATGAATAACGGTTTTTGATGTAAATAGACGAAGGATTCGTCGGAACGGCATCCAAACATTTAGTTCTCCATATGTTCGCAAGGGCATTAGACGGTGGATTCGAACCCAAGACCACTAGCGCACTAAACCGTCAGATAGCAGCTTATGCCACAAGGCCATGTGGGACAGCGTGGACCATCATGATAACCAAGGTAACTATGGCATAATTGATTCGTCATACACGTTAGCAAGGGTTGGAAAACACCTCAACGATTGTGCCGTAATACATAAAAAACCTGCAACCGAGGCACGCCAGCTGCCACCGATAACGGATGGGCGTCGTTCCGGAAAGCTACCAGCCAGTATTGTGCCGCCAAATTGTATCATGGAAAATTTATTATCTGCTAGGAAATGAGAGCGTGGCCGGAGGGAGAAAGAAAAATAAATTCACAACCCAAACGTCACTGGGGCCGGCTTCTTGCCATGTCAGCAAGTGTATCTAGACAAATGTGTTCATCGTCTTTCGGACCCCAACTAGGGTGCTGTGAAGCTCCAACCGAGGCCAGCTCAGAAGTGAGGACTTTCATTCCTCTCGACAAAGTCATCGCTTGGCCATCTCTCCTCTTCTTCCATACCCACCCCCGGTGAGCAAACAACGCAGATCGCGGGAGTTGGTGGGCTGGCATGCGTAACACGTGGCCGAGCCATCGGAGCCTGGTGTGTGAAATAACGGTGCTGAGCGGTTCATTTCCTTTTCCTGTGCCACAAACAAAGCGTCGAACACGCTCGTTGCTCACGCGGTGTTCCCACCAGATGTGAGCTAAATTGCGAAGGCATTGGTGGTCGAACGTAACTAGCCTCTTTATGTCCGCTGATCTAAGGGGCCAGGTTCCACAACCGTACAGTAGGGTCGAATGTACCGCTGCATTGTACACTCTACCCTTCAAGGAGAGAGTGATGTCGCGCGGGCGCCGGCGCCATAGGCAGAGTGCGTCTTATCTTTGTTGGTGTAAATATTTGGTGGTTTCTTCGCAATATCTTCCAAATCAGAGAGCCCTCCAAATGCCCGGAAAATCAACGCTCATAACGCGTGACATTGGGGGAGACGCGCCGTATCACAGTTAGCTTATAAATCAAGATGTTCAGCGCTGCCCCCCACGGCCCAGTGGTAGAAACTGATGGCGCAATCCGCTAATGATCATTGATGCGCATCCTGATAAAGCCGATGGATACGCACTACTGATGAGACTCAATAGAGCGAAAGAGAGGTCTAGTGCTTTTTTGGGAATGCGGAGAACTATCTGCTTGGAAGCTAATGTGAAGAAACTGCCCACCTAATCGAGTCATATAAAGGAGTTGTGGTTTCGCCATGTTCTTCATCTTATGAGGAACGCCTTATGGTTGAATATCACTCTAGTACGAAACTAGATCACATTTCCGAAAACTGCCTTGAATGAGTGAACCAGTCAATCAACAACTGGACCCGAGGATAGCAAATCCCGGAAGAATACACATTCTCTTGAACCTGATGTGAAAGTGAACCGGGTACACGTTGTAAACCGTCACGTGATGTAGTATGGCATGCTGAAATGGTAGTGCCGTGCCTTTGTAGAGATAGTCGTCCCTCAACTGGAAATGTAGTCCGTTTGCCCAAAATACTATAATGTTCCCATCGTACTTACGGTCGTTTTGATCGGAATGACCGAGGTCCACCTCAAGTGAACCGAGGTCTCAATAGAGGTTGCTTGTAGCAACCCAACCACCAGCGGATACTCCAAGTCCAACTTTGCATTCGTTTCCGCTGGACCAAGCGTTGCTCGCGGATCTCAGTGGCATAGTGCTTATGGCGTCAACCATGAGCCACTAGGCTCTGAGTTCCAGCCCAACTCAGGCTATCTCCAACTGATGAGTCCCAAAACCAGGACGAAACCGCGGTCTTGGGGTGGCAGTGTTGGGATGAGCAACACTATAATGTTCCCACATTATGTACTTATTTAAAAATCTGGAATGATGTGCTTTTGAATTTTGTCGTAAAAAGCAAACAATACCAAGTGAGTTGGATGTACTCGTTAAGGGAAAACTTTTATAAAAAAGCAGGCTGCAGCGTTCAGGTGATAAAATCTCGAAATAAACAAAAATCAGGTGTAAACAGCTAAACGGATAACAACGGGAAGTAGAAGGTCCAATGCAAGAAGTGTTTCGATGCAAGACGACACTATAAGTCTTTCGTGTCATATGCACGAATCGTGACGGGAGTCAGAACCGACAAAAAAACTCACGTGGGGCTCTGCAATGACTTTAGCCTCTTGAATGACGCGGATGGTGAAATCTGTGGGGACTTCTTCGAAATACTGACCATTTATCAACCTTAGCTTGGGGCAAAAGTAGGCCAGCATTTGGGGATTCAGAAGCTGTGGGAAGGAATGGAAACGGGACAACCAGATTAGTGACGAGGCGGAGGTACAAACGGGTGGTACGATGCGATGATCACCTGCGTAGAAATAGTCTGGTCTAAGGAAAGACACAAGAGAACCACCACACTCTACAAGGACACGACACAAAACAGCATGAAGAATGATTGCGAGAGACAAGTGGTATACATTTGCAGTGTAAGCGTATGCCTCAGTGAAAAACATGGTGAAGATAAGCAAAATGTGAGAGCAACTGCAAAAACGGTCGTGAATTTCCAATGAGTCGCATGATAATACTTAAACCCTTGGGGTACGGAAAACAAATGATGCTACTTGTATCCGAGATTCGGGACACAGAGTGGGTCTCGCCGGATCGGTCACGAAAATGGGACACGGTAATCCTAATCGGTCAAACAGACAGAAAAATTCAGTTTCCGATGATAGATACTGGGTGTTGACCGCTCGAAAACGCTGCGCTTCACGACAGCTTTCGATTACATTTAATCTCATCAAGTAGAGATAGCAGGCATTGAAACAGGGATCAGTTGGATATTAGTTAAGGCCTTTACCTCTTTAGCCAATGGATTACGACGAGCCACTCCAGGTACAATGATGAATGACTGATAGGAGGTACATTTTGAAGGATCCGTTGTATGAACGGATCGCGATGTGCAACCTTAATGTGAACCATGATCCGCTGTCGCGCAAACAACGAACGTCACATGAGTTGGTGTGCTGGCACGCGCAACATGTAGCCTAGCCATTGGAAACTGGTGCGTGAAATAACGGTGCTGAGCGGCTCACTTCATCTTTCTGCGCCATGTACAAGAAAGCAAAAACTCCCATTGGTCCCACGGTGTTCCCAACAAATGTGAACCGAGCTGCGAAAGGAATCGATGGTCGAAAGTGATAAGATATTTTGTGTCTAGCAATCTGATGGGACAGGCTTTACAACTGTGCAGTAGAGATGAACTGACGACTGTATTGTAGATTGCACTTTTCATGGCGAATGATAACGCGCCAGCTCCCCAAGTGGTGAAGAGTGGCAAAAGCACTTCGAGCTTTTGTTATACAAGTCGTGATCTCATTGTGGATCACATAGGCGCTAGGATGGTGGTCTCTGTGTTTACATTTCTGAACCACTCCCAGCTGATTACCATAAAAGTTTCAGTGTATGGATGAGTATCTGTCAATTTTGGATCACGACTTTGCATTTGGAGAGTGAAAAAACATTGGCCAAGACGGCTGGTAACCAGTACTAATCTGACCAGTGATGCTTTGTAAATTTAAGAACTGTTACAGGTAAGGGGAATATCACCGACATACTCGAAATCACCTGTGAGCAACTCCACACTTTTGAGTCGTGTCTAGCAATCACAGTCTCCAAGACTATTTCAAAGACGAATCGGAAAAAGTGGCAGCGGGTATCCTTATCACAACGGCTAGAGACATCGGAGGGCGGTGACAGCTTGCCATAAGCCCTCAGTCGACCCGAAGCCCGCAAATACGCATTTCTCAAGCCAAGCTCTTGGAATCAAGGAACCCTAAGGGGTATATCGATCCACGGAGTCGGGAAACACGAATAAAGTGACTGTATAGCTGGGAGAAAGTGATCCCCCTCCAAAAACCGATAACGAAGCAGGAATATGGAACGGACCAATAATTTCCGGTGTAAGCTCTATGTTTTTAAGAATTGTACGTAATGCAGCTTTCGAGAACTAACTATCGCCTTTCATCGAAAATTATTAGTGGGAACTTTCTACGTGAAAGCTTCACAATCGCCTGGGCGCTGGCAGGTCCAATGTGGTCTGGAGGTGAATCCGGCTCAGTCGGGTACTCAAGATTGATATCAGGTTACATCAAAAGGAAAATTAGTCAGAAATCAGTGCAGACGGGACTGCACTATGAGGAAAGTACTAATGTAACGGTAGAGACCATAGTGCTCACTTGTCTAAGCTTTTCATCAATGGTCAAACGGACTAGCCGGGGAAACTGTTGTATCAATGGCAAATGTATAAACCGATTGCCCGTCAAGCTGAGTTGTCGCAAACGTGGCAAGTGAAGGCGCCGTGGAAACACTCGCAAAGCATTCTCTGAGACATCCAGTTCACGCAGATTAGCACACCGTGCCAGATCCAACGCGTTGATGCTGGTGTAACCACACGCAGGGACTGATAAGACATATACACGCTCCAGGCTTTTCGCATGAGTGACCCGGAGTATCTCGGGTTCGTCCAAAGGACGATCGTCCTCCTCGACGGATAACGAAAGTGGACAGTTAGCTAGAAAGAAGTGAAGAAAGACTTGAATAGTGGCAATCGGAAAGGATAACAATATGGATGTAAATACGAAATTGCAGTGTGCAGATAATCAAAAGATACGCTTCGCTCAGCCACACGATGTAGGAACCGTGTACACATGTAACATTTGATCCCAAACAGTTGATCTGATCTTCGAATGCACTCACTGTATATCCTATGGTATATGCTTCAGCGAACCATCGGCGAACACACTGCCAGCAATGTATGCTTACAGTTGAAAGACTAGGTTAGGTGCTAAAAACATTGTGGCTCCCGCATGATGTGTGCATAACGACAAAACACAAACAGGAGGGAACAATCCATGCTACATGATGAAATTGAGATGGGCCCTTGTGGAATCATACGGCTTGGAACTCAAATTGAGTAAAATTCGAGTAATTGTGATAGGGAAATGCACTCACCCATTTCGTTATCTATTCTTGGATCAACAATAGTAAATTGAGCTCGACCAAGTTCCTCCAATTGACTGTCTGACAGTTGAGCTATGGCTTGGCTACCACCCAAAAGTTGGATAAGCTCACTGGTGCTCAATCCGGAGGAAACGATTTCGTCGTCAAAAGTAACCATCCCACCACCGGTGTAGGTTGTCGCGCTACAAACGGATTCGGTACCCACTGGGGCGTCTATGTAATAGGGTGTTGCAGAATGGATTGTAGGGCTGAACATATCCGGTTCCATACTAGAATAAACATCGCCTTGTAGACGAATTTGAACAACGTCCTGAGGGTGAACCATGTTTCCGTTTGTATAGGTGCTCTATCAAGATACCTGTAGAAGAGGGATTTAGCGTTAAGCTTAACTATTATATAATAGGGTTGACAAATGACAGGAGTGGGTAGCCAGAAACCAGATCAATATCATCATTCACACAAGAGCTACGGGTGAGAAAGACCACAACTACTGTGCTGCAATACAATTCAATAAGGTTATAGCAGATAAAGAAAAACAAAAGAGAAAAGAGAAATACTAGTACGCTTTGATTTATTTTATGTAGTGACGAGATGGCATTCGAAAGGGAAGGCTTGGAGGAATGAGGCAGGGCAGAGATTACGTAGTTGACTTCTTTGTGTGGCTCGTCTTTCAAGATCTATTTATAGAGTCAAACAGTGTGCCGCTTCCATCGCTCTAAAAACTGTTTCCTTTTCGTTTCCTACTGTTATTCACTGTAGGACACTAACGCTATCGATTGTCCCCTATTTTCCGAAGGTACACTTTTGAACTTCACAATCTGTATTCCTTCCAGCAGTACAGTTATCAATAGTCAGTTTGTTTTCCTGCCTGAAAGTCCGATATTTTGCTTTGGATTTTTGAAAGCAGTGGAAGCGTGTGAACCAAATATGACGATTCCTAACCAGTAACAAAAAAAAACCCGCAACACAAAGGCCATTAAGGTCAGCTCTTCGTATGTCAACTAGTGTATCAAACCAAACGTGTTCATCGTCTATAGTACCTAAAGCAAGAAATCTAGAAGCCCCAACCTAACCCAGCAGTGCAGTGGGGGTCTACATTCTTCCTGACAAAATTATCGGTTAGCCTCCCCTACTGTTCTTACATCCACAAGCGCGCAACCAACGCAGGTCGCGGGAGTCGGCGTGCTGGCATGGGGATCACGTAGCCCAGTCATCGGAACTTGGTGCGTAAACTAATGACGCTAAGAGATTCACTTCGTTGTGCTGTACCATGTACAAGACGCCGAACACCAATTGGTCCCACCGTATTCCCAAAAAACGTGAGCTAGGCTCCGTAGGTACGGGTAGTTGAAAGTAACGCCTTTTTCTATCTATATCTGATGGAATGGGCTTTATATCTGTACAGTGGAGATGAACGGAGGGATGCATTGCAGATCCATTCAGGACGAGAGTGATATACCGGCGTCCCATGTGATGAGGATGGGCAAACGTATCTCGGGTCTATGGTATACGCTTCATAATCTCACTTTAGATCCCACAGCTGCTGATACAGCTACCAAGACAGTTGGATTTTGAGCGATTTCTAGCTGATCCCCACAAAGAGTCAGAGCATGCGGCGCTACCTGTCAATTTTAGATGCAAGAAATGAGCATTATGCAGAACCAACGCTTCGCTGAGGCAATCACAACCAGTCGCCCGAGGGCTACGGATACTACGAGGGTCGCCCAGTCCCCAACATAGGTTCGAACCAGCGACCACCGGGTTTCATGGTAGACTCTTGTCCTTTCCGCCACGGGCCGGCTGTCAATCTTGGAGCATATCTTTGCCCTAAACGGCTGACAACCAGTGCTAATTTGTAAAAGTGCTGCTTGACACATTTGTGAACTGTCACAGATGAGGGCAATATCAAGGATATACACCAAGTCAATAAGCTGAGCACCTAATCATTATTCGTCAGTATACACGCTAGCTGCAAGTGGAGAACACCACTGCTATTGTGCCGCAATATATTAGAGTAAGAAAAAAAGACATGCAAAAGAGGCACGCCGGCTGAGTCACCAGTAACGGATGGAAATTGTTCCGGACAGCTGACAGTCAGCTATTGCACCGAAAAAGTCATACCCTGCCTAATGCTTGAGATGGTGGTTGGATAGGGAGGGACAAAGGAACTCACAACACAAACGCCATTGAGGTCGGCTCTTAGCCATGACAACAAGTGTGTACAGCCAAGCGTGCTCATCGTCCTGCGATCCCAAAACAGGGAGCCAAGAGACTGCAACCAAGGCCAACATTAAAGTAAGAGTCTTCATTCCTCATGACTAAGTCACCGCTTGGCAAAGCATTTTTCTCTTCCGTCCGCACCTACCGGCGAGCAAACAATGCACGTCGCGAGGGTCGGTGTACTGGCATGCGCAACACGTGGCCCAGTCATCAGAGCGTAGTGTGTGATATAACGGTGCTGAGCGGTTCACTAGCTCGTGCTGCACCAAATACGCGAAGCTAAACACGCTCATTGCTCATGCGGTGCTCCCACCAAAGATGAACTAAGTCGCGAAGGCAGCATCGTCGAACGTAACTAGCCTCCTCATGTCTGCCGAACTGAGGGGACAGATTACACAACCGTATAAGAGGGTTGAACGGACGGCTGCATTATAAACTCTGCCCATCAGGCCGAGGGTAATGTCGCGTCGGCGGCACAAGTGGCAGAGATCGGCAAAAGCACCTGGAGCTTTTGCTATACGGTTCGTAATCTCATCTTCAATCCCACGGGCGCTAATATAGCTGCCCAGGTACTTGAATTCCTGAACGACTTCTAGCTTATCAACACTCAGAGTCAGCGCAGTGGTGAGTTCCTGCCAATCTTGGGGAAGTACTTCGCATTCCGAAGGAGCAAAGCATAACCCAAAATGATTGACAGCCAGTGCTAATCGGTCCAATGCTGCTTGACACGTTTGGGAGTTAGCACAGATTAAGGCAATATCGTCCGCATACTCCAAGTCAAGTCGCTCACCAGAAAGTAGCTCCACACCTTCTAGGTAGTGTCTAGCGAACGCTGTTTACATGACTTCGTCAATACCGGAGTTAAGTAGGAAAGGTCACAGTGGGCAACCTTGTGTCACATCGCGGGAGATATCGAAGGACGGCGACAATTTGTTATAAACCCTCACTCTGCCCAAACTATGCATACAGCGCTTTGATAATGTTTACGTATTTATCGGGCACACCTTTTCTCAGCAGACAGTCCCAAACGGCACATCGATCGATTGAGTCGAAGGCACCTTTTGTGTTAAGAAACACGACAACGGTGTGTCACCAATAAACATGGCGATACACCAACAACTGACGCAAAGTGAAGACGTGGTCGATGCAGCCCCGATCTTGACAAAACCTGGCTTGCTCTTCACGGACCAGGCCTTCACGAGCGCCAATCAGTCTGTGGAGAATGACAGATGCAAGCAATTTAGAGGCAATTGAGATCAGACTGAGTCCTCGATAATTGCCCCATTCCGAATTTGAACAGGGCTGGGGCAATTCCATTTGCCCCTGTGGCCTTATGCAATTTCAGCAATCTGAGCTCACGTTCTACTTCTGCGCCTGAGGACGGATCAAAGGCGACGGCCACCGGAGAAAGGCACTCAATGCCCAAAAAAGAAAGCGATCACGCAGATTGGTTAAACTGCCTTGCAAAGTGTTCGGCCCAACGCTCCAAGCGTTTTAACAGGCAGTGGATCGTCACATATTGTGCTGCTGGCGTCACCCGAATGGGATCGCAAAGTGAGCACAGAGCTCGAATCTCGCAGGCGGGTCTCCGATAAGCAGCAGCTATCGATCGAGAGGATCTCCAATGTTCGGACAAGTGCTGCCTATTGACCGATCTGTAGTAATGTGCGTACATTGAGGCATACCAATCTGAGGGAGGATCAAGGGCTCCAAATGGAGGCCGATGAACTGGAATGGACCGCTTTGTTGGACTTTGGCTTGTCAACAGGACAGGAGTGACGCTCCGCGTTAGCATGAGTTGAAATTCGAAGATAAACGCCTAGCAAAGCATGTTGGGGAAGGACCAAGAATAAGGGCCTGAAAACAGCGGGATAAAAATGAAGTTGGAAAGGGACGATGAGGGTGAAAAATCCTAAGAGGGGGAATAAGCAGACGAGAAGGCTTGAGCAGTAGTATCCAAACCCCTGTCCACCCTGTTCGATGCAGTAGACGGGACACCGTTGATTATCCTCTGCGGTGGTCAGAGCATCAAGAAACTGTTTGAAGAGAAATTCATTGTATTGCGTGGGCAGGATACTGTCAGGTTGCCCAGGCCTAGACAGGAGAACAATTAGGGTTCTGAACCAAAGTCTTTGGTACAAAAACCTTACCGCAAAGCAGCGGGTTTTGGTGTTGGCCTACAAGGAATCCGTTTTAAGGAATAAGGAGCCAACTCATTCGAACCCCCAACCTGGAGGACCAGGAGACTGAGTTTGTCTGGCCTCTAACCATTGACCAATCTGGTATGAGTGGCTATGATGTTGCAAAAAAGCACCACCAAGCATAGCTCAATAGATCGCTGAGACACACAAACCATCGCACCACGGCAAGATCCAGCCTCAGTGCGATGGTACGAAGTCTCCGAACAGGCTTCGATGCATGTCTCTGAACCATTTCCAGCAGAGTGCATTCAAACTTTGGTAGGGGATGGATAGCTGGTAGGCTATATTCTAAGACTGAACGGAAGTACGAAGTAAACAAAGGTCGAAGAATCGCAGGAGTCATTCGAGCGAATGATCTTCTTAAGGCACCCACAAGTCTTCTTCCAGTGACCACCTTCAACGCGGCCTGCGTCGTTCTAAGGTCAAAAGTCACGACAACCCCGAGATCTCTCTCGTGAGTGGTATTCCTGAGGGGAAACACACCAATGTGTTATGCACCATATGGTTCAGTGCTAGCAATTGGGAGTACAGCGCACTTATCTCGGTTTACTGGAAATTCCCACTTGATGGACCATTCGTGTAGCTGGTCTAGAGACCCTTGTAACCTGTCCGCATCCTCAAGGCTGGATATTGTTGACCATAGGTTGAGGTCATCGGCGTAGATAAATCAGTCGGTAGATAGTTAATGTACAGTTTGAAGAGCTCTGGTCCAAGCACTGGTTCTTGGGGAATGCCACTAACCACAGGCACTGAAGCAGAGAGGGTTTGGTTCACTTGTATGCGCATTGTCCTACCTTCTAAGAAATCGGCAATTCAGGACAGATTTCCTGTAATGCTAAGTCCCTGGAGTTTATGTAGCAGTCATACGTGTGGAACATTATCAAAGGCTTTACTGAAGTCAATG